ACGTTAACGTGGATTATGGTTCGATTTTTTTTGGGGGGGTATCAACGGATTTCTCGCCGCCGGGCTTACGGGCTGGCCGCGGCCGGGCATACGGAATGTTAGACGCAGGTCATGTTAGGTCATACCATGTCCACTTCCCATGTTTCACGCTGCACCACTCCTTTATGTGTTCTGCCAGAGCTTAGCATGTTTAGGAGTGTCGACGCTTTTTGAGAAACAAAAACGACCTGTCTTGGAGCGAGGGAGCGCCGCACAGCGGCCTTCTGTGTGTGTCACACTCCGTATCTAGGAGCTTTTTTGACTCACTAACTTCTCCACGATCTCAATTGGGTTAGGGCAGGGGGTGGCAGCAGGAATGAGAGTCTGCCACCAACGAAGACGCTCTCGCTGGTGATACTGAGACTGATCACCCCAGCGTACCTGCCTGAAACACAATGACACCACTGATCCGCCCTGCCGCTGGCTTTTTGTTTCCAGGGTTTTTCCTCATGCTACGACCCCATAACAGGTTTTCCACCGCGCTGTTCACCGCCGCGTTCTGCAGACAAGTGAACACTTTGTTAAACATTTCAATTGCGCTGACCGCTTCACCTTGCGTTTCCCTCATTCATTTCACTGTGGATTATGGATAACTGCAAACCCTGTGACTAAGTGTTAAGTTGATTCAAACCATGCGTGAAAGGTATTTTTGGACGTTTTCAGGAGATTTGTTGGGAAACAACTGGTAAGCTAGGGGCTTGTGCAGGTGCTTGAGATTAACTGCCGATGCGGGTATGGAAAGACGCTGTGATATATAGTGTTTCTGTTGTTTTTGTTGATGCAGGCCCTGCGAAAGAGGCGACAACCTGGTAAATAGTGATGTTTTGTGAGTAGTCCAATCGGTCCAATGGCAAAGATGAGCAAAGATTAAGAGAACATGAAAGCACCAAACAGCAACAATGAACGAACGCTTGAAAAGTCTACAAACTGGCTATCAGCAACGTCCTTCGAGCTCTTTAGATGAAACACGCAGGATTTTGTGCCTTGCAAACGCGGTGAGCAGATGCATTTCTACCGATTCTTGCAGAAATCAGCGGCGAGGGCGCGCTACCGCTTTACAGTTGGGCCTTTGCAGCCTTCTCAAGTGGAGACATAAAAAGCCGAGAAAAAACATGGGACCCAACCAGCGCAAACAAACCTTTAATTCCACGGACATTTGTCCAAGACAAGTAACAAATACAACATAAACATCCCGCCGGGTGTAGAATCGCACGTGTAGTCGTGCAAATTTTGATTCAAAAGTGCAAATCCTCTCAGTACTTTTGCTTGTTCGATGATGTTTTTTGGGGGTCCCGGATCCTTTCATCTTTAAGGCCGAATCTGCCGAAACCCAAGCGCCAGCGCAAAATCCGTCGCCGTTTTTGTCCCGGGCGGTCCTCAACTTTCATGCGTCCTGTCTCAAGTAGACTTGCGCAGTTTTTTTGCACAAGTTAGTGCACGTGGTGTTTTCCCAACGCCACTGCCATCCGCGAATCACACGACTAATCGATGACAATGTTATGAAACCGATGACAATGCTATGAAACCGAAGATTACTTGTCGTGAAGTCGATGACAATGTTCTCAGCATGACATCCACATCCTCATTCCATCACAACCCCCCCACCCCATTTTAATCACACGACTAATCGATGACAATGTTATGAAACCGATGACAGTGCTATGAAGCCGAAGATAATGTGGTGAAACCGATGACAATGCTATGAAACCGAAGATTACTTGTCGTGAAAACGATGACAATGTTCTCATCCCACCCCAACCCAACCCCCCCACCTTTCACGTAGCATCAACTTCAGATAGCAAGTGCAAACGAACGTCAATATGCCCCATCCCACCCCACCCCAACCCCCCCACCTTTCACGTAGCATCAACTTCAAAAATCGCAGTAGTCACACGTTCGGTTTTACACCCGTAGGCATAAACATGTATATATATATATATAACAAAACAATTACAAATTTAACGTTAGCGTCTACAAAACACCAACTACTACTTTAACTTTGGTGCCCTGTTGCGCTTTGTTTGCAGGCCGTTTCGAGGCAAAATAGGGGCATCCGAAAAGCGGGTGCAACGAACCAGTAGACCCTTGACAAAGCAGGACACAACAGATGGACCTTCGAACATTTCAGACAAATCTTGCGAGCGGGGCTCTGTGGGGGCGTGGTTACATGGTGGAAGGGTGAGCCCAGATCACTGTTGGGGAGAGCTAAGAATTTGGTGCCAGTCTTTGTAAGTCGAAAAAAGAAGTGGTGGTTAACAGACACCGTAAAAAGTATCTTCATGTTTAATCTATATCGTGGGTTCGGTTCAAACCTTGTTTCTTTTTTGTGCAGGTATCCTGGCTGGATTCTGATGTACGTTCCCTGCCTGGCTGGAAGTCCTTGTTCGCTTGTTGGCCGTTTCTTTGGTCAAAAAGAAAGTTGCTCCGTTTACGTGTGCAAGGGCTGGCTTTCGTCCCCTCACTTCTCAGGTCTGTCTGTTATTTAGTTAATTTAGTTTGTTTCTATATTTGCTAGTACCTTTTCTTGTCCTCCGAAGAACGTGCGTTCGCCAAGATACAAGCCACCGTGCCAGGCGGTTTCTCTCACTGCTCTGGTCTCCCACTGTGATCGCAGCCACTGCTTGCCAAACGGCGGTTTGTGACCGCCACACACACACACACACCAAATCGAGACCTCAAATTCTTCTGGACGCCCAAAACGAGGCAAAAAATTGACTTGCATAATTGCAAGGTTGACTTGATGCACAACGGGGTTTGTAGTTTTTCCCATGATGCGGCGATCAGGGTCCATCCATGCTAATAATGTGATTGGTCGCGCGGGGATGCCACGCCATCCGTGCCGGGAAAACCATTTTCCATGATTTTCCTTGGCCACCAAGGGAATTGGGAGCTCAAGCATTCCTACTTTTTGTATGGATTCCACCGCACCCACCCTTCTGCGCATGCTCCAGCCCAGCCCACTGTGCGCGTCATATTTACGTATATTATACAAACATATCTATCTATCTATCTATCTATCTATCTATCTATCTATCTATATATATATATATTTCTGAATAATCATACAATGCATGATTATACATGTATGTATGAATTTGATGCATCGTTTTCAGTTTGCGTTTTCTTTGCGCGACTTGGGCGCGAACAAGTGGCGCGTCCCCGAGAAACCATGAAGAACTTTGTTTTGGACTGAGCTAGACCCAGTCAATGACTGAGCTAGACACCACTTTATATGGTTGGAGCCAAGTAGTCTAAGTAGTCTCTGATTTTCGAGCACTTGTTGGTTGCCAAGCAGCAAAGCTGTGATCTTTCCACCGCACAACTCGCCTTTCATATCCTCCAGGTAGACCAGAGGGGAACATGAAGATATTGAGGAAGGATTGGAACAATTAAGACCCACAGGCAAGTTGAAATAGCCCACGAGCAGGTAGAGACAGTGTCCGACGGTCAACCACAGAAGGCTTCCTTTGTTTGAGCATCGAGAACAAAGAGATTTGGTTGAGTTGAGGGGACAAAGCAGTGAAGCGTTTTGTCCCACCATGAACCGCACAAACAGTATTGACAACATCTACATACTGTATATAGAATTCATGTGAGATAGAAGGTAGCAAGAAGCAGTCAGGGTCAGCCAACTGATTCAGGAACTGGATCACGTCCAGTTCCAACCAAGCCCAAACACAGAATTGCAGTAAATCAAAGTAATTCAACGTATATAACTACTTTGCCACTGCCTGCATGACGCTCTCTCCTCGAGAATCGCTTGCAGCTTCACTCTCTCCGACAGAGATCCTTGCACCAGCCTTTGTCAGATTCATTGTTTGAATCTACCACCATTTTCAAGGCACCCTTTTGCTGATCAAATTATTCTCACCAGACAAATTGGATCTTCATGAGGCGCGAGACAAAGAAGGCTTCCCGCAGAAGAGCTGTATCACGTTCGGTGAGGCACCATGAGAACATGACGCTCAAGCAAGCCAGGGGCTTGCAAAAGGGACTTGAGCCAAATGAAACTGACGCACATTGACCACCTTCGACCAGTTTTGGTGTTCTGATACATGTGCTTTTTCACCTCATTGTTTACACTTTCAATTAACGCATGACTGTTGAAGCGACAAACACGACCTTGTTTCTTGTGTTCAAAACAAGATTAGAATTCCACGTGATTTCGGGTGAATAGAGTGACTTAGTCACTTAGTATTGGAGGGACGTTGCCTTGTTGCAGGTAGTGTCCACCTTCAGCAGGTATGGCAGTGTAGCCTCCAAACGACAGTGTGGAGCTCAGCATTCCAGGGCTGGTGCATTTGACACCGAAAACCCTGGTCCATGTCCCAGTCTTGAGTAGGATGGATAGCCATTGGTTTGGTTGCACGATAGAACCCCAGTTGTATCTTTGACTCGTCCGACACTTTGCTCACTTGCCTCAGTGGCGGAATCTACATCTCCAAATCCTTGAAGATCCCGATCCTTGGCTGAGTTGGGATCGGCTTTTGCACATCTTGCAGGCAACATTTTGAGGCCGATTCAGAGTAAGAAGGTGACTTCCTGCAAATCCGACCATCTCACATCCTGCAGATCGGTGTGACCTGTCTAAGGAATCGCTATTCGACCATCAGCGTACGCTATTCGACCCTCTCACCTTGGCGTGTTCATCCTCGCCATGCGCCATGATGTGCCGTGATGTGCTCTTGAACGTCCGGTTCAACTCTGCCTCAGCGAGCCACCCACTGAAATACACAGACATCACATGTGCATAGGCATAGTCATGGTTTATGGCCTCAATGCACGGCGTTCTGAGGGTTTTGGGAACAACATTTCTAGCAAAGCTTAGCTTCTTCCAATGGGACATGCATGATGGAATCCGGAACCCTCCCAATGCCGACAACACCAGGTGTATCGGTCCAGACACGTGTATTAAAAAAACATTTTCGAAAAAAAGGCAAAAGGCACCTAATAGCGATGGCCTCCAACCTAGTAGCGATGGCCTCCACCCATGACGTCTCCTTTCCGTGCCCAAATCTTTAGTTACTTTAGTTTCCTTGACCTCGATGTTTGGCTTCCTCCTGTGGCCGATGGCACTTCCGGTCGCGGCCAATTGTGGAAGTTGCCAAGCCCTGGAGGAGTGGCCCAAGGCCCTTCATGTGCAAATCTGAGAAGTGAATGATGAAGAACTCTGAAGCCACATTTGGTAGTGAGCTGCGACAGGAAATGACAATCTCGAAACACTCCATATGGACTCCATATTTTTCCTCAAACAGTTTACTGTTGGGGTGCTGCCAGCCCAGCCTCCAGACCCTGTCCTCCTGGTGTCCTGTTTTATCTCTTTTCCTCCTCTTAAACGTCGTTTTCTTGTCGCCCCCTGTCCTCCTCTTGTCTTCCTTCCTCTTGAAATATTCTTGACCTCTTCTTGTCCTCTTCTTCTTGTCCTCCTGTTGTCCTCTTGTTGACACAAGCTTGGCCGCGGCTGCCAGCCGGTCTCCAGACCTTGTCCTCTTCTTGTCCAGACCTTGTCCTCTTCTCCAAACAGTTTACTGTTGGGGTTCTCTCTTAGGAAAATGGACGGCCCCAGTCTCTGGCTGCGCCCTTGACCCTGTTGTCCTCTTCGCTCGCAAACCCTGTGTCCTCCTCTTGTCGTCTTGGTGTCCCCTGCTGTCTTGCTGCGCTGGCAAACCCTGTGTCCTCCTGCTGTCCTCCTCTTGTCCTGCTGGTGTCCTCCTGCTGTCCTTTGGCCGCGCTGGCGAACCCTGTGCCTTGTGTGAGGGCGCCTTGTGAGGGCTTTGTCCAGGCCTTGTCCGGGTCTGTCCATTTTGTCCACGTTGTCGGTTCTTTTATCGCCGCCTTGTCGGCCTTATACCCTGCTTGGCCATGCCGCTTTCCCTTTCTCGACCACATTGTCCGGGTATGCTTTCGTGGGGCTATGAACGCAACGGATTTTCTCATGACATATATCCCTTCGTGCTTGCACATGTTACATCGGGCATCAGGAACTTTTGTTTTCCAATACTTTTTGCTTACATGCAATTCCCAATACAGAACCCCAACAAATGATGCGAACACTGTTTGGGGTCTATGTTGGCATAATTGTTGCAAGAATCATTGAGAATCTCCACTCTTTGCCGTCCTTTGAAGTTCCAGCAGGTCACGTGGGCCCTGCGCGTTTGGTCGTTTTGGCCTGGATTGGCCGAATTGGAGATCAGACCACAGGACCCCAATTCGGCCAGACCCGGCCCAGACCGGAACACCGACTGGTGGGTTTCATGGCGGACCGGTTTGGGGGAAAGAAAGGCCCCAACAGAAGCATGTTTCTGATATTTTCTGTGACCAAAAAGGGGATCCTCACTGCAATTTTTGAAGTTCAGTTGTGGTGTTTTGTACTGGTTGTCAGTTTGAAAGCATCCACCTTTGGCATCCCTTTTGTTTCAGAATTCAGTTGTTTCCACACATGCTGTGTGTTTGGCTGGTTGCGGTATTGCAACTGTTCATGTAGGACGTGATGCCAGCTGCAGAGCACGCCCTTGCAGGGGCACTGCAGTGTGGCCCCTAGATGTTCGATGTCTTGGAGGGCTTTTGGAGATTTCAGCAACTTTTGGCAGTCTTTCGGAGACCATCGCTATTAGGTTGGAGGCCATCGCTATTAGGTTGCGGGCCATCGCTATTAGGTTGCAGGCCATTGCATGTAGGTTGTCTTTCTTCGGATATGTTTCTCCAGACCTTGGGTCCAAGGCCTCTAATGCAGTACCCCTCATGCCAGCTTGCTCAGCTTGTCCTGCGGCTTTTTCTCCTCTGCGGGATGAGCGCTGAAGACCGGCTTTTGGCTCTCGAGGATGCCACAGATTCAGCTTTTAATTACACTTAATTCTAATTAAAGTCTATAGCTTCTTCTTGTTTCTATTAGCAAACATTGTTGTTACTAGTAAGGCCCTTGTTTCCAGTAGCGATGCACTTGTTCCCAGTAGCGTCCTTGGGCCATTGGACACAACACTCGGAGAAGGATCTTTTCGAGACAGTGGCGAGTCATTGTGACTTATTCTTCACTCTTCGCTTTCCCCAAGGAGAGTGGCACAGCTCTGCTCGCTGAAGTGGCTGAAGTGGTACAAAGTTGCCGCGTCACGGGTATTCTGGAGTCTGGATGGCCTCTCTTTTCTCTCTTGGCCTTGCTACGCCGCGGGCTCCCGGAGGCCGACCGTGGCGGCCGCTTGGGCAGAGGTGCTTACGACGCTTGGGGCAAGCGGGTGGAGGCAGCGTGGCGTTCTCCCGCGAAGGCCAGGGGTTTGGCATGTTGGCATGTTGGAGGAATCAACCACTGTCTAAAAAGGAAGAGCATGGAAAGAGCTTTATTTACAGCTTTGGTTTCTTCAACTACAGAATGGGCTAACGCTAACGCAACTAACGCCTGGTGCCCGCTGTATCCCGCTGTTTCAATGACCGAAAACGTGGCCTATCGATCCTTTAGGTCTGAGCAATATGCAGCGTTACTTGTAGCTTCTTTTTCCTAGTAGTAGGAATGCCACTAGTAGTAATGCCGCTGCCCTTTGTTACTAGTAGCGATGCCCTTGCTCCTAGTAGCTTTTTGTTCCTAGTAGTAAGGCCAGGAGCTACTAGTAGCGTCCTTGCTCCTAGTAGCGATGCCCTTTGTTACTAGCTACAGGCGTCAGACAAGTTAATAACTGGCTTGCGGCAGCCAAGTGTGCATATGGCGACGTGGGCTTTGAACCCTTTGATGTTGGCTCTAGTGTTCATGCGAATCAGGGAAAGTGAGCTGGGCATAGATCGTCATGAGACAGGTTAGTGAAACTCGACTGATGAAACAGATGCGGCGACAGTAATCGAAGTCAGCGTGAGAGGAACACTTTCTTCAGACAGTCGGTGGACTATGACTGAACGCCTCCAAGTCGGAATTCTCACCTTCCGCAATCTAATAGCAATATATATATATATATTAACTGGCGGCGGGGTCGGCGGTCGGCGGATATCAGGGGCCCATGCTGTGGCTCCTGGTCGGATGCTTTGCCAGCTGCATGCCCTTGTGCTGTGAGTCGCATCAGAAGGTTTGTGTGTGAAGGGTTGAACACTGGTTCTCAAGCCTTAGCCAATGTTGCTTTGTGTGCAAAAGTGGCCAGAAAGGGTGCCGCAGCAGCAATATCGAAACCCATGAAAAGAGGTTTGCAAGGCCACAGCTTCAAAATCCATTGTAAGACATCTGGCAGGGGCCCATGCAAAGGTCCGAGACGCCGGTGTCGCTAGAGCCTTGGCCCATTTGGGTGGCAAAGGCAGCTTCAAAAGAGTGGCTGGGCAAGGATGAAGGTTCCACCCTGCAGGTCCCGGGCGCCGCCCCAAGGTCGGCGATATTAAATACATATATGGTATGTATATATATATATACACACATGTTTTTTCCCCCAGATAGCTGCAAGCTATAGGGGCTCTTACTTCTGAATGGTGTGGCTCTGGATTGGCGTTTCGTTTTGCCCGTGCTGGTGCTGGTGCTGGTGCTGGATCGGCGTTTTTCGTTTGCTTGAGGCGTGCGGGTGGCACGGGTGCTGGTGCTGGATTGGGGTTTGCTTGGCGTGCTGGCGCTGGTGCAGGTGCTGGTGCTGGCGCTGGGTGTTTTCTTGGGGCGTGCTGGCGGGTGCTGGTGCTGGTGTGTGTGCTGCTGCTGCTGGATCAGCGTTTTGTGTGGGCGTGCTAGTGTTCCTGGCATGACTTGATGTCATCCCTGGCATGGCATTAGGTCATCCCCCTGGCATGACACCATGCCACCACAAAAGGAAACGATGCATCAATGTGTCAGGCAGTGGATGTCGTCCCTGCCCTGACAGGTGTCATCCCTGGCATGGCATGATGCCATCCCTGGCAAGGTGAACGATGCCCTTGGCACCGCTCATTGATAAGAGAAACATTGGGATTTTTATCCCTCAGACACTATGAGTTTTTCCCCTGTACACCCGCTATCTGGGGTCTATGCCGGCGTGTTTTTATTCGAACTCACTTGTAATTTGGCATTGCCTCCATCTTCTAGCAACCATCAGTTCTTTGGGCCTCGTCGCACGTTTGTAGTGCGCATACCAGCTTTCTCTCAAGTGACTTCGCTTGACTATCCGTTTTGCGCCGTGCTGTGCAGGTGGGTCCCCCTCCACCTGAACCTGAGCTTTTGGGTGCATTGCCACTGCGCTGCTCAAGCACCTGGCTGCCAGGTAAGAGGCGTCCTCCTCGCGCACCTCTTGCAGGTAAGCCGTAGCAAAGCTTCGTGGTGGGTCACTAGTGCCGTTAGTGTGCCACTGGGGCACCCAGATCTAGAAGTTCCTTGCATGGTTTTCCAAGGTAGATTCCAAGCCTTGCCAATTTTGTATTCTGAATGTTTGGCTGCAATTGCGTATATTGATTCCAATGCCATCCTGATGATTGTTTGGAGACAATCAAGTGCCAAGTGCAACTTTTTATGAGAGTTTCATCAAGTCGACGTTTTCATCAAGTGACGTTGCAGTCTTGTCGCTCCGGTGTGTTTCAACACCGCGATGTCAGTGGCAATTTCTCTTCAGGGGCTGGCATGCCGGCAGCCAGTGCAGCCAGAGCAGCAGCGTTGCAGGCCTGAAGCTGTCGCCAGCGCCGACGGGATCGACTCGTGGGAAGGACGTCGGATTGCGGTGACGAGGCGCGCGCCCAACGCCAGTACCTCAAATATTTGGATGTGGTCTTGAGACAACTCACCTCCAAGACACGCTGCTTGGCGCTACTGAGCCGGTTGGCAGGTGAATTTTCGGGAGAACTAGTGTGCAAACCACGGTTTTCAAGCCTTCTAGTGTAGAAGAGTTAGAAGCGCTTTGCAGAAGAGCTGTGGGTTGAAAGCATTCAAATGCTCTTGACCTGCGGGGAGTTTTAAGGACCTTCACGGGGCCCTCGACAGCCAGGGCTGCTTGCATTTCTGTCGTCCACGTGGCCAATGTGCGAGTCGATGTCACTATTGGAGATGGCCATTTTTACACAGCCGATGAGAAATGTGGTGGGTCCCTCCCCGTTTCGACATTCCCTTCAGTCCACAGAGCCTTGGCCATGGCAAGATGCATCAAGCGTGTGTATATGTGACACACATGGAATCACTCGAAACACCCATCGCATTGACAAGTTAACATCCAACGCCCATTCTTGGGATTCGTGAGAAGTATAGCAGCAACAAAACTACAAGGAGTACTGATGAATTTCATGTTCAGTGCTTTCGTCACTTCATCATTTTAAAACATACAATGTGTTGTTTTTTGGAACCTATGTTTTCTTCCACATGCCAACAGCCCACCCGAGGCACGACTCCGGGACGAGCTCCGTGCCGTGCTCGAGGCGCAGCGGCCGGAGGCCGCGCGACGGGGCTTCGCCCTGCGGAGGCTGCCGGGCTCGGTGTTGCCGTCAGAGGCGTTTCTCCTCCACTGCCTGGCGGATCTCCAAGGCCGAAATCGGAGAGATGAGATCGGATGGTGGGGTGATCAGTGAGGAGTGAACGAGCAGAGCCTAAAGGCTAAATATAAAATTATCAAAAATTATCAAAATATCTAAATGTGTTTTGTTCTATCCTGCAAAGAGCCGAAGCTTCAAACCTCAGAATATCCGGATGATTATTGCTTGCCAAATGCAGTATTTGGGCAGGAAAGTACTGTTGACAAAAAAGATAAACATATTTAATATATGAACTCCAGCGAACCGTCTTGACCGTATGATTTTGTGTGCCTTTTAAACCCAATCTTTTGAATACTTTGATTTGTTTCGACATGTTTTGACATCAATATGGCACACTTGGATTAATTTGGTGTATGTGGCCGTATGTGCTCCTTTGATCAACTTTTTTTTGGGTGTATGCTCACAAACATGGGCAGGCAGGGCATATCGAAAACAATCTAAGTGGGCAGCTCTGTGATCTTTGCTAGCTCGGCACTGCTAGGTGTACAAGTCATTGTGGAGTCTGGCGTTGGCCATGGTGGCTCCACTCGTGCTGCCTGTGCTTGGGCCAAAGCGGTACCGGGCAGGCTCGTCGCAGTTCTTGGATCAAAGTCACCCGGTGTGTCACCGGTGCAGTCGTGTTGCGATTGCTTGGAGTGCTTGGATGATGGATTGCAACCTGTGGCAGGCGGGTGCTGTCTTTGGAACGGGCTCTCAAGGACTCCGTGGCCAGAGATTTAGCTCCAGCCTGCCAAGGTGTGCTTGAGATGAGCTTTGGCTTCTGTACGTGGGTCGAAGCATGTACCAACTTGAGACACTTCACATGGTGTACTTCCGGACGAGCTGAGTCATCACGACACAAAGAATTTTGCAAGTAACTGCTAAATACTACCTGAAAGAAAGTGAGAGTCAGTGGTGTTGGAGTAGTGCAGAGAAAGCAAACAACCACGAGCAGGAACAAGGGATAGAACTGGACAGAGCAGGACCCAGACAGAGTACGAAGATGTACCGAGTGTATACAGTATCACGAACAGTCCAGTTCAGGTCAAGGCGTCTCATCTCTGAACGAGGACTATATAACACTTTATGCTGCTTTATTTATAGGACATGGCCATGGCCAACTTTTTGTTCGCTGTAAACGAGCACAATTTGCAGCCGTCCGACTGTTTGACCATGGTCCAGAATCCATCGAGTTTCAGTATATAGACTGCCGCTTGTTCTACGGCGTTTTGAAGGTCATGCTTGTCCTTAGGTTTGGCTACCACACATCACTGACGTGAAACTGTTCAAGCTGAACTAAGGAGAGCAGGTGATGCTTTTGCAGCTCTTGACTGGGTCTCTTGGCGAAGTTCGTGAAAGCGCCAGATCTCAGTCTTATGCCGCCTTCAGTCCTTAGAAGCTTTTTGATCTGTCACGGACCGGTGGGATCTAGACATATCTAGACCCAGCAGCGCAGGCTTTACACTCAGCAGGCGCCCTCAATGTGTCTGTGGCCTTACTTTTGGATGGTCCCAAGGGACGTGTGGCCGTAAGGATGGCAGAGGAGCGGCTCTAACCGTGTCCACCGTAGGCCGCTAGTAGAGGTGAGGAAGGTAGTAGCTAGAGGTAAGTAGCTGGTAGAAGCTAGGTAGCTAGTACCTGCAAGTAAGCTACTACATACGGACGCAGGATAGCTCGCGCTTCTTCAAGGAAGCTCACTACTACTAGGAGCAAGAAGCTACTAGTGACCCGACGTACTTTCATGATTTCCAGGATGCCATGCAACGGTTTCCTGGACTTCGTGTCGCAGCCATCCACGATGTTCCACGTCTTGATCTCCGCTACAGAGATGAGGATGGCAGGTGCGGTTCAAAGCTTTCATCAGCCAAGCTTTCCCAAGTTTTCTTGCACTGTTTAACACGACGTTTAATCCAGTTACTTGTAGCATTTTTAAGCATTCAAATTTACATGTTCTAGAATTCTAGAATATCTTGGCTTCCGCATCTTCTCCGTTATGAACGGGTTCTGCGTCTCCTGCAGAAAATGTCAGGGGTTCAGACCTCAGGAGGGTCTCCCGCAAGTTCCAGAGTCTAAGCGTGCCTTCCGAGATGAACTGTACGTACAGTTCAACCTTTCTTATCATATGGTGTGAAGTTCTTTAATCTCTGGAGTATAGTCCTTTTCTCATGCGTTGGCTTTTGCTTGCCAGTTTAGACTTTCTTGTTTTCTTTGTCAAATCACAAGGGTTTGAACTCCGGAGTTTATTCATGCGCAGGGATTTTCTTGGCAAAGTGCTTTCTCTTGAGGCGAGCTTTTCATCTTACTTAAGTCCTGTACTCTTGTATAACTTGAGAGTTGGATCGGCTCTTGTTGGAGAACGGATGCTCTCCAGAGTTCATTCCTTGTTTGAGGACAGTTTTGGCCTCAAGTTCTGAGAACGCACTCAGCTTTGATTGATCTCTCCCAAGTGCAGTGAGCAGTCTGCGCATAGCATGGCTGCTGCTAACCCTGGAGGGTGCCTGGGAAGTTTTGCTTTTCAGACGGGAAATTTCAGGAGCGTGGTTGAAATTCAGCCTCCCTACCACATTCGCATAGCTGCGGCAAAGGCTGGTCTTTGATGTTCCATGAGCCGGCACTGCAATAAGGCGGCTTGAAAGAGTGCACAGGAGGCCTTCTTCGGGGCAAGCAATGGGAGAAAGACCAGCTGGAGCTCGCCGTGACAGTGTCTCTCTCTCTCTCTCTCCAGCAGAAGGGGATTCTATGTTCATCGTT